ATAACTTTGCAATACACTTAATTTCCACAGTCAATTTAACTTAAACACACGCTATAATTCACAACGATTCACGCACTCTACTTCGGTCACTACCGCGCTTGACTCAATTGTCTGTCTCTGCCTGTCTGCAATTCTCTATTTCTGATTAATTGTCTCGCTTTATCTGGCGCGCTTATATACAGAAATAGAGGGCGTCTAGCAAATACTGGATTATTCGTGATGTTCCCCGATCCTTCTAGAAACTCATCACTCAAATGATGAGTTTCTAGCGTCACGTGACTTTCGCTGTCGTAACAATACGTACGGGAAAAATAAGAGAAGACAACTTCAACGACGTGGATCGCTGCTGTATTGATAATTTCTACTTTAGTACTGCGTATTGGGTCTTAAATCAGTATCTACTAGCGTTCTGTCATTGATAAATTGTATAATTTGATAAATACCTATTTTACTTTCACATTGCTGGAGCCATAATTTAATAAGTATGCATATTGACAATTTTAAACTTAAAAACTGCCATCATAATGTTCTAGGCCTTAAAATTATACATAACTAGGTTGTACTTGCAGATATGTACTATATTCATAAGTCGTCTATCTTGCATAAATCACATAAGTCCTCCAAATTTTGCATAACAGTTCGATAGTAAAATATGCCGATTCTGCATAACAAATTAAAATATGGTTACTTTTATGTAACTCATCGATTTTGCGACGTAACATGCTGATTCTACATAATGGTTACCTAACGTTCTTTTAATCAATTATTCACCGACTAGTTGCGCAAAAATCCAAAGGAATTATGCAAATTATGAGATTTATGTGAAATAATGCATACTGTTCTTACATAAATTATTAATATGAAAGTCATTGTTTATTATGTTGGGCTATTTAATCCTGTTCTAATTTTGATAGAAAGTACAATTTATTTGAAATATATATCACATGTATCACTGCTGAGTTAGCGGGAGTGGATGTACACTGGAGGAGTTTTCTTATTGTATTAGAAGTAATGGCGAAACGTCATTATAATGACGTGAATTCGTGATGAACCGCATTCTCCGAAATGTTGAGTTGCTTCTCTGCCATCTTTCGTACTCCCCTCCCCCCTGCGTAAATGTTTTAGTTGAAATGTATAACGTATTTATATATATGTGTGTATGTAGCTCTATATATATATATATTTTATTCATTATTTAGGCTGATGACTACCACCACTCAAGAGTACTGGAAATGTGTCAGCGAATCGTATGGCCGATTTATACTCCTCGTTGTTAGTGCATTGGATTGTAGCTCATTCTTTATGCAGTTTTGTAAAAAATTGAATCGGTAAATTTGTGTAATTTATATTGATTTATATATCGTGTGTTGTGACGCTTAGCATTTCATGGTAAACCTAGTACACCAAACGATTCACTAGTATCTTATCGAGTAGAAGAGTTTGTGTTATTGTATTGACCTTAGTGGCCGAGTTCGAGTTTGACGTTATGAACAATTGATAACCTGTTCTTATTCTGTATTTAAATTAAAATGACATTCAACTGGGAAAACCTATTTTGGCCCATATTTGGTGGGTTACTTGCACTTCTTTTCGCCTTATTGAAGGCTTATTGTTTTTACAAGTGTGTTTGTCGAAAGAAAAAAGCTCTTGCGGAACAGGCAGTAGAAGGCGTGGTTCTGAATTATCACTCAACGGTCAACACTCTGCTGCCATCTGTCGTTAGTGGCTTTCTCTCTGAAAGCCATGAAGCTGTTACTAATGCACTTACTGGAAGTGGTAGAAATCAGCGAATGTTGCAGTATCCATCCACAACCCATTCATGTAGTTGCAACAACCATCCATTACCTTCTGAGTACCATTGTTACCCTGGACATTTCAGTTCCAGGCAAATGTTCCCTCCTGTCTGAAGTCAAACTTCTCTGATATTTGTCCGTAGAACCATTTGGGAAACACACGTATTTGTTTTTATTTGAGATTTTTAATATTGAGCTACCTGTAAAACTTAAAGCATAACCTTTTGTTTTATTCAGAACTAAACTTTTATTACACTAAGATGTATGTAAAATGACATGTATTGTTGTAGTACAACAACATTTTGAATTAAATGTCTAACCGGATCTGTACGTTTTGTTCCAAACAACTGATATTAGTACAAGTGTTACAGATAAAAAGCTGTATTGATGTCACACACCTATATTATCTTAGTTACATGCATTTTGTATAACGTTTAGAAACAATTAGCAGCTACCTTAGTACCAATTTGTGGCCTCCCTAGTGGCACAGCGGTATGTCGGCGGACTTAGAACGTTAAAAACCGGGTTTCAATACCAATGGTGGACAGAGCACAGATAGCTCTTTGTGTAGCTTTGGGATTAACTACAAACAAAAAATTTGTGTAAAAAAATTTTTTAGATACAAATGTAGAGAGAACTTTAATAAATATAGAATAGATAATTTGTGAATCCTAACGAATTAAAACACAGTTCATTCATCTGTGCAACAAAGATCGTAGCCTATCTCTGTTTAACATCATATCTGTCGTACTGCAAGATCCAAGAAATAGAATAGTGCTTGCATTAAAGGTGTTTATTGAGGTGTGTAAAATTAGATTATCAATGTAATATGTAAAAAGTCTTACAAAAATTAAAGGCTATCGTAAGAGCAATGATGACTTATACGTTACTAAGCGAGGTTTTGCACAAACCTGTGTTGCCAACTCTAAAAACCAAACAACAACAACAGGAAGTTGTCAGAAAACCTTAAAGTTGCTAGATGCCGCTATTTAGTCATTCTAAAACCATCAAAATATCACTAAAAAATCTCTATAGAATTACTCATGCTAGATTTTAACGAAACTTGTTTTATTCTGTTTTTATTCTCATTACATTAGAAATATGGCACTATTGTGTGCAGTTTTTGCTGTATTTAATTACAGACAAGCACACAAACAAACAATCTCGGAGTTTTAGTAGTATACTAGACCACCGTGACCCGTTGGGTCACCCACTATTCAGAGGTTATGAAGAATTCAAGCTAATTTCAATATTGCACCGAAATGAAGGTTTATTTTGAGATAATTTAATTAAATATTTCAATCCATTCGTGATATTCATAATTCAAGAAAAGATATTTGATTGTTTATCGGCAGTAAAAGGAAAGACAATTTCATTGTTCAAAAAAGTGAAGTCAGAAGTTTCGTAAAGAGCGCGAACGGTAGTGTGATGTAAAATTACTCATGCTAGAAATTTTCATAAAAGTGAGCCGAAATTATTTATTATCACAC